AAGGGTGGATTGATTGCTGATTGGTGAATATTTTGATGTGAAAAAAAGTAGAATCAACGCTACAAAAGCTTGACAGTTGAGTGATCAGTTAAAATGGTTGTTGATAAAGATAGGAATCGAAAGAGGGTGGTGGCATTGACCGACCTTATATGCTTTGGAATCGGGGAGTTCATGTTGTCTGCTGCACATTCTCAATGTCTGGTGGAGCTTTTGTAACCAAATAAACTTGAATCCAACCATTCCTAGTTCAAGTTCCCAACACCGACCCCTATTCTAATTACTTCTTCACTTCCCCCCACAAAGCTGAAATTTGTTTATTTCTGACTTAACTATTGGATACTTTTTTTATCATTTCCCTCTTAACATATTATTAATATAATTATAGACGTTGAAGATATCGAGCTTCACGACTGCTTGATTCCGATCTCTTTGGCGCTGCTCTGGGAAAATCATGCTCGACTTGCAGGGTGTTCTTTAAAGAATCGCGTTTGACAATGTTTTCCATATCGCTTTCAGCATAACCCAGCTGCCTTTCACCTTCTTTTCCGCAAACCAGTTTGCAGTTGCATTTGAAGATGTGAATCATTTAAGTAGCCAAAGGTTCTGAAGTCTTTTTTTTATAATATAGAGAATGAAATGATTTTTCAACGGCTTTATGTTGAAGAGTTAACTGGTCAACGGGACATAAGCGGTTAACAATCCAACTCAGCTTTCTATCACCCACGTTAACGATAGGTAATGTCGAGTTATCAATTTGTTTTAAATCAATAATTTTAATAATTACTTTGTTACAAAACGACAACATTAATTATTAATTTGTTATTTTTGAAATTTCAATAGAAAAAATAAAAATTTTCTCAAACATTTGGGAATTTATCTTTCATTTTAATTTAATTTTTATATAATTATTTAATACCCTTATTTCTCTATTTTTTATTATTTTCCCAATAAAAAACTGGTGTTGTGCTTTTCAACAAAAGAAAATAAAAACAAAAAAGAAGGAAGTTACATGCAAGCAGACGTGGAAGAAGAATAGAGATTTGCAATTGAACAGCATGCCACGTATTCTTCATGCACAAACCTTGACTTTCTATAAAGAGAACCCCCTTCTTCCCTTCACACCATTAATCTCACAAAATGCCAGGCCTCACCATTGGAGACACCGTGCCCAACCTTGAAGTCGAAACCACCCACGGCAAATTCAAGCTCCATGATTACTTCAACAATGGCTGGACCATCATCTTCTCTCATTCTTATATACATTTTTATTATCTTTCTTTCTTTGTATTTTTGTTGCAGATTATTAATATTTTTGCATGCAGCTGATTTCACACCTGTGTGCACCACGGAGCTTGGCAAGATGGCGGCTTACCTGCCGGAGTTCGAAAAACGAGGGGTTAAGCTTCTCGGTTTCTCTTGTGACGATGTGCAATCTCACAAGTAGTGAATCAAAGACGTTGAAGCTTATAGTGTAACTACCTTTCTTGAGTTCCCTTTTTAAAAAATCTTTTGAAAATTTGTTTTGACCATTATGGCGTGATTTATTTATTTCTAAAAGTAACTATGTTTTTATGCTGCGGATGTAAATTACGGTGCCGTGGTGATCTTGAAAACTGTTTCGATTTTGGTTTTGAGATGGTTGTTTCTTTGGGCAGCCTGGGTGCAAGGTGACATACCCCATCGTGGCAGATGCAAGCAGAGAGATCATCAAGCAACTTAACATGGTGGATCCCAATGAAAAAGACTCGTCGGAGAACCAGCTCCCTTCTCGAGCTATGGATATTATGGGATCCGACAACAAGGTCACAGTGTTTTTTTTACCATGTATAATATCATGGGTAAACTACATATTTACTACTCAATTATCTTTTTAAGTGGCCAAAAAAAATCTAAAATGAAACTAAAAATGTGTCATTAGATATAATTTTGAAACAAAAAATAGTTGAGTGACCAAACTAGAATAGAAATGATAGTTGCTACTAAACGTGTAGTTTACCCTAATATTTTTACCGACTCAAAATCAAAATGAAGCCATATTGAAAACATTTTAATGTTGATGTGCAGATCAAGCTGAGCTTTCTGTATCCAGCAAGGACGGGGAGGAACATGGATGAAGTGTTGAGGGCTGTGGACTCGCTACTAATTAAGGCATCCAAGTACAAGGTCGCGACACCGGCGAACTGGAAACAAGGTGATCTGGTGGTGATTTCGCCCGATGTAAGCAATGAGGAAGCGAAACTAATGTTCCCTAATGGTTTCGAGCATGGTTTTCAGAACCGATGGTTTTCAGAACCGGACCGGTTAACGAACCGGTCATGCTACCGGTTTACTGGTTCAACCGGTTGAACCGGTCCGACCGGTCGGAAGAACTGGACGACGTCATAATTATTTAAAAAGTTAAATAAAAATACAAAAAATATTTAATAAAAAATAATTTTTTATATCACAAGTCATATTCAAAGCAAGTCATAACATATATAAATTAAAAATCATAAAATCAAGTGAAACAAAATGATTCAAATTAACTACAACATAATATTTAAGGTAAAACATATTAAATAATAAATATAATTATATAACTATAATTAAAAAATAAATTTAGGGCTAAAAAAATCATAACAAAAATGGTATTGTTTGGTTTAATTTTTTTTAAAACAATCTCACATGGCTAAGAAACATAGAAGAGCATCCCAAAAGTCTAAAGAGTAAAAATATGAGAATAAAACAATCTCACATTGCTAAGAAACATAGAAGAGCATCACAACTAACTTCTATAAATAATAAAGGTAATTTGGCATTCAAAATCATGGAGCCTTTTGGTTAGCATTGAGTGAACTATTCTTTCACTTCAATCAAGCTTGAATTTTAGGCTTCTAATTTTTTTTTTTAGTTCAAGCCTTTTCGAGTTCAAGTTTCAATATTATATTTCGAGTTCGAGTTGAACTTGATAATTTTTAACTTGTGAGTTTGAGTGGAGTTGAGCTTACTTTTAAAGTTTTTAAGTTCGAGTTGAGTTTAGCAATACTCGAGTTCGCTCGTTTAACAAACGACATTTGGTTTAATTTTTTTTAAAAAAAAACAAAATTTCCCGTTTTTTCCTGTTTTCAGCCGGTCCGGTTCGAACGGTTCAACGGTTCTGGCCGGTTCACTAGTAGCGGTTCAACCGATTTAGATTGAACCGGATTAGGCAACGGTTCCCGATTGAACTGGCCGGTCTGATCCGATTTTCAAAACAATGGTTTCGAGACGAAAACGCTTCCATCGGGGAAGGAATACCTGCGTTTCACTAATGTCTGAGTCCCAAGTTCAAGCCATAAACAATTTGTATATCACAATACTACTGCTTTTGTATGTGGTTGTGGGCTGTTGCTAAAACTTTTGCTGTAGCAGACTATATATATAAGTTTTTAGGATCTACGCACTGCCAAAGCTTACGGTGGTTTAAATAAAAGTTGTTGTTCGGTAAATTTTGAATGGTAAGAAAGTTACAAATTTTTCCTTTTACTGGTTGTCAAAAAAAATAATAATAAAATATAAGCATTTGCTTGGAGTCGAACCTTAGTCTGTTTTTTGGTAGGCAGTTATCCTAACCGTTGAACAAAAAACTCACAAGGTGATGGAAGAAGATAGTTACCAATATTCATTACTAAGATCTAGGAGTAATAGTTGATCTTATGTCTCATTCATTGAATTTTTTGGGGTTGTTTTCCCGGATGCTGATTAATCCGGATCAATTCGATTCGGGCACCTAATTTTGGGTGATTCAGATCGATTTGGGTTGCACACCTAATTTTGGCGGATGAGTCTCTTAATAGAGAAGCTGAGTATTAGACGCAAGATTTACTTAAATGATATCATACTCAAGCTGCTTATTACGGATCGATTTGGGAACTAGGTGGGTAGTTTCTTAATAGGGACTCAAACTCGAGACTTATTTAAATAATATCAAGCTGCTTATTACTGAATCAATTCCAACCTCGAAAATGAAGAGATATTTTCTGCATACATAAGGACTTGAACTCAAACTTACTTAAATGATATCAAGTTATTTAAACTCGAGACTTATTTAAATGATATCAAGCTGCTTATTATTGAATCAATTCTAACCTCGAAAATGAAGAGAGATTTTCTGCATACATAAAGACTTGAACTCAAGACTTATTTAAATGATATTAATTTATTTATTACTTGAATGATATCAAGTTATTTATTACTGAACCAACCTCAACTCAAAAATAAAATAATTAGCAAAAATGTAACAAACCAACCCCAACCCAAACCCAAAAATGAAATAATTAGTGAAAATGTAATAAACCAACCCCAACCCCGAAAATGAAATAATTAGTGAAAATGTAACATAGCAATTAAGCTCTAATTAAAAATAGTGAGCCTTCACTATATTACAAAACCATTCCCACATTAAACTTTCTGCATGCTCTTAAACATTCTTCTCATGGTTTATATAGCATATATTAGAAATGCAGAGTCCACCAAGCACCAAACTTCCATCTTTGCACCACAGTTCTCGGCCTGGGGACAGGAACAATACCAATTGTTGGGGGTTCAACCATTTGCCTGCAGGGACAATTTTTTTTTGCTTAATTCAATGAGTTGTATTGCATTTTGCCCTTGGTGCTTGGAAAGCAAACCAAAAGGAAACAGCACTTTGAAAAGTAGTTCTAGAGCTGAGTAGAGGAAACGGAATGCTGCATCTAGAATTGGAGAGGAATATTTGGTTTGCATTCAAGAAAACTTCATCAGAAACTCCACTCAACAAATGCTGGCATTGCAGAACAATGGTGCATGAAATGTAGCTTGGACTTTTTCTTCTTTGTATTTCTCATACCAAACTCGAATCTTTATCTTTGTCATTGTAACAATTCGTTGTTGAGTTTGGCTCGGTGGTAAGAAAAATATAAACGTAAAAAAGAATAAAATAGTCAAAGTTTTTTTTTTCTTTGCTTTACTTAGAAGTAACAGACATCAGTAATTGACTATTGTCATTTATAAGATGAAGTGCAACAGCAGCCTGTGCTAATGCTAATGCTAATGCTACTGCATTGCTGCTATAATTGCTTCTTCTGTCACTACTAATTCAGCCACAAACCTTAAACCCCTTCAGATTATTACAACAAAAGCTCAAAATTGCACCTTTGACTCTCCAATTCTTGTAGTTAGCCTCATGTACTGCTCACGAGCTTTCTGATCGTGAGCCATGGACTTCACTCTTGCTAGAGCTTTTTCGATTCCATCAATTTTCTGTTGTTGACCGACTCTTAAAAATCCGTATTCATCACCTGCGTTTGTATCTGATGCTGCATTTTCAACGACAGCTTGCACCCGGAATCCTCGTAGACCAGAACCTTTACGCCTCCATCGCAAGATTATCTTTTCAACTATACCAACAGACCAAAGGAGCTTTCTGTACTGTTTACGAACCTGATGCCCCCTAACATGAGCCTGAAATAAATGATAAGCAGAATGAACAGGTAATTCATACTACAAATCAAGAGACCAAAACAGAAAACACAAAAAGCAACTTTGGTCTGTTGGTATAGTCGAAAAGATAATCAAGAGACATCAATGGCAGTAAGTAAGAATTAAGATTCTCTTTTGAAACCTTCCATAATCCTGCCTCATATGAAAGCAAACAAGAAAAAGGTTATTGATGTAATCGTAAAGAACCTGAATTTTCACAATTCGATTTCTTATCTTAAAAAACTCATTCCTTCCTTTCCAGCCACGATGCTTATGTTGGATCTTCGAAGCCGCAGTGTGCAAATAGTCTCCAAAATGATTCTTTTGATGCCTATTCCAAGACCCAAGAATACCAAGATCAAGTGATACTCCAGACATATCATCATTGCCTTTAGTTGATTGTAAATGGGATAAGCGAGCTCGAAATGCATCTTGAATTAGAGCAGCTGCATGAGCTGATTTTCTAACAGCAGCAAGGGAACCTTTCAATGCACAATTCTCATCTAATGCCCCATTAGACGGAGCAACTTGTGAAGCAGTCTGAACGGCCTCTTGTGTTGCCATAGTGGCAGCATCATTATCTACCGCATTTTGGTTAACAGTCAATGAAGAAAGACGGGTGATCAAATCAGCTTCAGCTAGGTATCCAGCTATTCCTTTGTGACCTCTACTTGATGCTAAGTCAGCTGCGGTTCTTCCACCAGGGAAATTTGGTGTGGGATCATCAACAGCACCAGGAGATGCGCCTAGTTTAATAAGTGCAATTACTGTTTCTTCTCTGGAAAAAGAAAACGACCATCAATACAAAACCATCAAAATTGACATACAGATACTTAACACGAACTAGATATATGAAGAAATTGTGCAAAGACTTGACCTTCCAAAGTATGATGCCCAGTGAAGAGCCGATCTACCTCGTGCATCTCTAAAATTAGGACTTATCCCTGCAGCAACTATAGGATCCATTGCCCATTCATAACCAAGAAAAGCAGCCAAGTGTATAACTCCTTGACCTTTGTCATCTAGAATATGTGGAACTTTTCCATCTTCATGAACTTTGTTTATCAGCCACTCACGGAGTTTTTGTTTTAGCAAATTCAGAATCAATCCCTCTTTAGATTGTATACAACCATTAGCACTGGCTATTCCCGTTGAACATATGTTATTTTTCAACAAACATTTATCACAATCCTCAACAGCACAAACCAACCTCTTCCTCCTGTGGCCAACATGCAATGATTTTGCCAAACGAACTTGCAAGTGCATTTCCTCTTGTGCTGTGCTTTTAACAGCTGTAATAAATGAAAATCCAGGTGGCTTTTGACGATATTCAAACTCCCTTATCTCACTGCATGCCAATCTGTTGCTGCAGGTGATATAAAATGGAACACGTCCAGGAGCATGAGAAGGAACTTGACAACGAATGACATTGTTGGTCAAAACCTCGGCAGAAACTTCAATTTCACCAAACATACAGCCCCATTTGGCAGCGCCAGAAAGCTCTTTGTTTCGCAAAAAAATTCCAACAAGTAAAACCTAAAACGCAAGAAGCACTCATGGTTAAGTATGATTTCATGAAAAACAAATGACGCGCTTACAAAACATTACACACAAATCATATTTCTGTACCTTTGTTTCAACACCTGAATAAGCCCAGTCGGGTGAGAAATCAACAATGCTAAATAACTGTTCCTGAGAAAGAGAAGGACCCAAGGAATCGATATCCAACTGCATATGGCGGGATAAACTGGATACTTCCTTGTCATCAGTCTCAGTGTTAAGTGTATTCCAATAATTGGCAGAGTCAGAAGCCATCAAAGAATCATCAAAATCTCCACCAATTTCTTTATCCATCCATCTTCCAAAGCTATCAAGTTTTTTCAGCTCTCCTGGTTTGTCATTATGTACACCAATGTCTATGGAATCATACTGCTGTAGCTCCTGCAGGAGATCAACTATCAATCGATAAATTTTCAACATACCTGGAAAAAACATACAAGGGAAATGGAGTGATTCTAGGACATCACAAAAGTTTCATAGGTTACAAAGCGATGGCTTAAGTTAATGGAAAAGGAAGAACAACATTATATTAGTCATTTGTGTTTACTTTAGAACTGAAGCTGTTAAATGATGCAAAGAGAAATGAATTACACTCATATGCTATACAACTTAAGGAACAGATTGCATACTTATCCAAAGCATACGCCAGATATAGCTCTAAGTTCTAAGCCCCAATGCTATTAAGAACTATGCGAAATACAAAATGCATGTGTCTTGTTATGACAGACCTGGATTAGCTTCCCTGGATATTCTCCAGCTGCTTGGACACCTACATTGTTGATTAACTTGTCTCCACATGTTTCAGTATCTGAGGTATCATGCACTCTCAACTGTGCTTCCCTATGAGTTATATAGTCAGCTGTCGCAGGCTGTTCAACATAGAGCTTTTGATCTGGAATGCTAACGGTATCTGTGGCCAAGTTATGGATGCCAGGCCAGAAACATGGCCCAGACACAGTGCCATGATTAAAGTTAGATTCTGGAAAACCTGAAAAATGGAGGATGATCAGAGCATAGATCTTAGAAATATATTAAAAGTTGCTAAAATAAAGTATTAATGGCCTGACCGAGTTTTAGGGTAATGGTTATTTTTTCTATTTCATGTTCTCAATTATTATTTTGAAGGTGATAACGACACATTGAGGATTCCAATGTAATTACCCTCACCAGCAACTTCAGGTTCAATTGAAGCAGTACAAGATATGGAACCATATACAGGTTGGTCAGGAGAATTGGCACTTGGATAATCCCTAGAGTCAGCATCCTCAAATTCAGGACATAATGTTTTCCCATTCCAATCAACATCAACTCTACTCGCCGATGCAAGAGATATCTCAATTGTAGCTGCAGGTGAATTTTCCTGTGCTAGGGAAGAAGCTGAAGCAGTTTGCAGGCTAACACTCTGTAATCCTGGGTCCGGTAGTAAACGGGAGGTTCCAGAACTGCACACCTGCATAGAATGAATGCATTGAATTGCATAGAATGGACACATGCAATTTAAAAAAGTCAAACCAAAGACAATTAAAGTCTACGAGTTAAAGCATGGATCCTCCGAGATATTTGCAACCTAAAGAGCATTTCTAGTTGACACAGGACATAGAATATTTTGCAATGTCTTTATCTTAACTTAATTCCTAAGAAGAGGGAGAGAGAGAGAGAGAGAGAGAGATGATACCTTGTTTACATCTCTGTAATGAACAAAAACAATATGTTCGAACTCCCTGAAAACAGAATTATAACATGAAAATACAAAACATTGAAGAATAGACTAAACAATTTCTGATAAAGAAGGATTATCAGATATATTTTCTAAAGGAATAAATTGAAATGGTGTCACAGTGTATATAGCCAGAAAACCACTCACTCATCAAGCATCCAGTAGCAACGTCGCTGAAAATTCTCATTAAACTGACCATGTGCATAGTAACAATGAAGAACATCCACACTTTCAACCTACAAAAGTGAATTAGAAAACAAGTTAAAAAAAGTACATGAACAAGTTTCACCGAAATATACAGAAATCGAGTTTGATATGATAGATTCCTTTAGAAAGTAATGTGCTCAATGAAAGAATGTGGGCTCAGGGAAGTGAAGACTCAATTTAACCAAATTTTTAGGTTTTTCGTAGAAGTTGATTACCTCATAAATCCATAGAGGTTAAAGAGTTGGTGCTCGTAAAATCTCTTTCATTTTGGAGTCGGTAAGAGCACTAAACTATATCTATAAGCTATAAAACATAACAGAAGATGTTCACACACAGGACTGATGGAACACAAATTAACAATTTATCAAAAGCTGAGCTTTTTATAACATTAATTATTCAAAGTCAAATCAATGGCAAACAATTAACTAGTGACATTGGGGAATTTTCATTCACAAGTTAAAAGGTTTGAGTAATGGATGGGAATTAGACGATCCAAAGGTTTCTTATTGCATTTAATGTTTAAAATTAGAGAAATTAGACTCAGATTCTTTTTTCATTCTTCACATTCATCTAGTTTCAGCCACCGCAAACGCAACCAAATTGTTACAAACCTGACCGTCTTTGCATTCTAAAAGCATTGCTTAGGAACAAACCGTGAAAACCAAAAGCTGAGCTTTTTATAACATTAATTATTCAAAGTCAAATCAATGGCAAACAATTAACTAGTGACATTGGGGAATTTTCATTCACAAGTTAAAAGGTTTGAGTAATGGATGGGAATTAGACGATCCAAAGGTTTCTTATTGCATTTAATGTTTAAAATTAGAGAAATTAGACTCAGATTCTTTTTTCATTCTTCACATTCATCTAGTTTCAGCCACCGCAAACGCAACCAAATTGTTACAAACCTGACCGTCTTTGCATTCTAACAGCATTGCTTAGGAACAAACCGTGAAAACCAAAAACTTACCTTCAACTTTTCATGAGCTTCTCTGACAGTTTTTCCATTCTTCTTCTTCCTCCACTCGTGACCGTCTTTACGAAAGTATCGAATTGTTTTCCGGTTGAACAGGTACAGAGATCCAGCTGAAAACGATTTCTCAGTTGCTACTTTCATGTGGCATCAAAATTCATGGGGAAATGGAGGTACTTTAACTAGGGATAGTTTCTAAGTATGGCAGAGAAAGCTAGTTAAGACCTTACCAGGAGGCTTGGAGGGCGGCTTGTCCGATAAGCCAAACTTGGGGTAGTTTCTAAGTATTTCACAAACTTCAACGGGATGAAGCCAACGATGCCGTGCATCTTGCAATATCTGCTGATGATCTGCCACAAATAAATTATTAAATTCCATCTAAAAATTGCAAACAATCGTATAAAGCAATCCATCTAAAGCAAATACAGAAAACATTAGAAACATTCAACTGGAATGAATGAAGATTCTTTCAACCTTTTTAGAAACCAATTGAAAAGGAGAAAGCATGTAAAGCGCAAAGAACATAGATGATGAAGATTCTTTCAACCTTGAATGATTAAAATGGTATAGTAAAACACAAGAGGTTCACAAAGTAAACTCAGGCAACTGGATTGCTTGCAGTCAAAAGAAGCTTTCTTTAAGGTAAAGAAGGAACTTGAATGATCAAAATGGCATAGTAAAACACATATTTGTAATGAGAAACTGGGAAAAAATATACCTAATAGCTCATTATGGAGGTATCTTCTGCCTTGGGCCATTGTTATTCAGCTAACAAAACTCTGCAAATAAACCCAGATTTCATCGACCATAATATACCCAAGAAAACAAGGGAAAAGAAAAAGAAAAAGAAGGGTTCTTCAAGAATTTTCAACAAGAACCCAAAGCCAAGAGGGGATAGATTTATTAGCAAAACAAATAAAAGACAGAAATTTTCAACAATAAAATCGAAAATGGAGAGCCTTTTATGTTATGGAGTTTAATGAGAACAGCAGAAATGGAAAAATGAGGAAGCAGAAGAGAAAGACAGGCGCGTGAATGCACCGATGATAAAAAAGCGTAAAAGAGGATTGTCAATGTCAATGTCAATGAACAAGTTCGGTTTTATTCGTTTATAACCATTTAAATAAATAAACTATTCTTAAACTATTTCAGGGTTCGTTCTTGAACAAACGACTCCTTCATGTGCTTCCATTTCCATACGTTTTCTCTTGAGTTTCTTGGATCTGAATTTCGTTCTCAAATTTTTAGATGTCGTTTCCGATCCCCTTCAAAATTTGGGAAATTTTTTAGATTTTTAGGGTTCTTAATTATAAGTTACTTTTTTTAAGATTCTGGCAATTTGCATGTTGTTAATTCATTTGGTAGAACTGGCATTTTTGAATCTTTTGATTGTTTAGTGATAAATATTTGATTAGAATAACTGGGGATTTCTTCTTGGTTATGGATATGGGATCGTATTGGTAATAGCTGCTAAAAAGTTTAAGTATTGTTCAGCCTTTCTTTTTATATACATCCCAACAATTTTAGTTGTTTTTCCCCTTACTATTTTGTTAACGTGTGATAGTAAACTCGGGTTCTTGGTTTTGAATAATAGGATTCTATGTTATTCTAGTGAGATCTGCCTGTTAGAGTTAGCATTTGATTGATTTCTTTTGACTTATATTTTTAGTCTGATTATGGTATCTATAGATATATTAAATCCAATCTGTTGATGTTTTAAAAGTATTAAATCTTGGGTGTTAAATAAGTTAAATCTGTTTGACATGTTCAGATTTGGATACAAAGATAAAAATAACCTCTGTATCTAACTTTTACATATTTAAGTAAGATATAAATCCAATCATTGGTTTCTAGCTGTTGGCCTAAGTTAAGTAAGATAATGTTAATTTGTCTTAAAATCCTATTAAGTAACCAACTAGGCTTCTTAGTACCCCTTAATTCTCTAGCGTTTTATTGGTACATCTTTTGTCTTATTTGGATTCATTTTCATAGTTCCTCATAGCTTCGGCTACAAATGATTACTTGAGGTCATGTCCTTCTTCTAGATCCCATAGGGCGTATAGGGGGAGGGCTCGACAGAGTGGTGTCAAAGAGACTAGACTTAGAGTTTGTTCGTTGAATGTAGGCACATTAAATGCTAGGCTGCTGGAGCTGACCGACGTGCTTAATAATAGGAAAATAGATTTTGTATGTATTCAGGAGACTAGGTGGAAAGGGGCACGCGCCAGAGAGTGTAATTGGTACAAGTTGTGGTATTCAGGCATAGATAACGCTAGAAATGGGTGGGTATCTTGGTATCCTCTAGGCTCAAGGAAAATGTAGTTGAAGTTTGTAGATACCGGGATAGGATCGTGATGATTAAGGTTATTATAGAAGCGGAAGTGGTGAATGTCCTTTCAGTGTACGCCCCACACGTTGGCCTAGGGGAGGGGGAGAAACGTTGCTTCTGGGATCAGTTAGATGACGTACTTAGGAGCTTTCCAGAGGACCGAAGAGTTTTCATAGGGGGAGACTTCAATGGCCATATAGGTAGTGCATCCGACGGGTATGGCAGTGTTCATGGGGGTTTCGGTTTTGGTAGTAGGAATGAGGAGGGGCGTAAGTTGCTTGATTTTGCTACTGCACATGATATGGTGGTCACAAACTCCTTCTTTAACAAAAGAGATGTGAACTTGATTACGTTCCATAGCGGGAGGACATTGTACCCAAATCGACTATATCCTGGTTCGAAATCGGGATCGATGGGCTTGTATTGACTGTAAGGTATTCCCTGAAGAGGCATGTGCATCACAACACAAATTGTTTGTTTTGGTGTTTCGCGTTCACCACGGGCGAAGCACTCATAGGAGGGCTAAACTTGGTAAACCAAGGATCTTTTGGAAGAACTTACATGGAGAGACAACTGATGACTTTAGGAGTAAGGTTTTGTCTAATACAGGTTTTGGAACTACAAACTCAAATAATACAGATATGTTATGGAAAAATATGGCAAATTCCATCAGAGAGGTGGGCAAAAACACCATTGGGTTGTCGACAGGGAAGGTCAAGGAACATAATGAATCGTGGTGGTGGAACGAAGAAGTCCAAACTAAAGTGAAGACAAATTAAACTTGCTTCAAGGAGTTTCTACAATGTAATGACGACGAAGAAAGATTGAGAGCTAAATAAAAATACACGGAGGCAAAGAAGGAAGCCAAGAAAATGGTGGCTAAAGCAAATGATAAGGCATACAAAGAAATGTACAAGAAATTAGACACCAAGGAAGGATAAAACGACATCTTCAGGCTTGCAAAATCCAGAGAGAATAGGAAAAATGATCTAGGTAGCATTAGGTTTATAAAGGACAACAATGGTGTTCTTTTAGTGAAAGATCATGATATTAAGAGGGTTTGGGGTAGTTACTTCTTTGGATTATTTAATGACGGTGCCTCTCCCTGTACAGATAGTACCGTTGATGGGCCATTCGATCATCTTACTGCGACCAATGACTGCCCTACAAGTAGGATTGGGTTTGAGGAAGTCAAAATAGCTCTTAGAAAGATGGGGAGGGATAAAGCTGTTGGTCCAGATCAAATTCCTATCACTGTGTGGTTGGCCCTAGGAGAAGAGGGAGTTAAGTGGTTAACCAACATCTTTAATATTATTTTAGAGACTGCCAAGATGCCAGAGGAATGGAGAGAGTCTACGGTGATATCAATCTATAAGAATAAAAGAGATCCCCAACGTTGTGGCAACTACAGAGGTATTAAACTACTCAGCCATACCATGAAGCTATGGGAAAGGGTGATAGAGGCTAAGTTGAGACAAGTTACTAGGGTTTCGGAAAACCAATTTGGCTTTATGCCAGATAGGTCTACTACAGAGGCGATTCATCTACTGCGACGGCTTATGGAGAAATATAGGGAAAAAAATAGAGATCTTCACATGGCGTTCATTGACCTTGAAAAGGCGTATGATAACGTTCCCCGAGATACGATCTGGAAGACATTAGAAACGAGACGGATCCCAATTACTTATATCCGGGCGATTTGTGATATGTACTGTAGATCTACTACATACGTCAGGACTACAATTGGCGACACCGAAGCATTCCCGATGGAAATCGGACTCCACCAGGGGTCAAATCTTAGCCCTTACATCTTCGCCTTGATTATGGACGACATCTATTGTGCGGCACCAGACGGTGTTCCATGGTGTATGCTTTTCGCTGACGACATTGTCCTAGTTGCTGAAACAAAAACAGAGCTGAATAGTAGACTGGCTACCTGGAAGACTGCTTTGGAAGAAAAAGGTCTAAAAGTCAATATTGAAAAGACAGAGTATTTATGTTCAAACTTCAGTGGGAACCAAAACGATGAAGATGTAGAATTATGCATATAATGGCACGTTCTCCCCTCAAAGGATTGTTTCAAGTACCTAGGGTCTATGATACATAAAGATGGGGGTGTAAATGATGACGTTACACACCGTATAAAGGCGGGATGACTAAAGTGGAGGGCTACTACTGGAGTTTTGTGTAACAAGAAGGTGCCTCTAAAACTTAAGCGAAAATTTTATAGAATGGCAATAAGACCAGCGCTGCTGTATGGATCAGAATGTTGGGCAATCAAGAAGAATCACGTAAGGAGGATGGAGGCAACAGAAATGAGAATGCTCCGATGGGCATGTGGTAGGACTCTGTGGGACATGACACCAAACTCTGCTATTAGGATGTCCTTGGGGGTGGTGCCTGTACCCGAAAAATTGAGGGAGGGAAGACTACGGTGGTTTGGGCATATCCTTAGGAGACAACATTCGGAAGCGGTTAGGAGGGTAGAGTCGATTACAGTCGACGGTCCCAAAAGGAGAGGACGACCAAGGCGGAAGTGGGAAGACTGCTTGAGATCTGATTTGAAGGATTTAACCCTTACCGAGGACATGACCTCTGATAGGAAAGTATGGAGACTTAAGACCAGAGTAGCCGAGTAGTGCAGGTCACATCCATAGGGTGTATCATCTCCGTCTTCTTTTAATGCCTTTGTAGTAATTTCCATGACTTCTACTTCTTATATGTTTATGTCATTGGAATTTATGAAGACTTAGAACTAGGATAGCGGAGTAGTATGCCTTAGTCTAGGTTTTAACCCATTTTGACTTTATTCCTTCTCGTAGCTGGCTATCGTTGACTTCTGTGTATCCTTCTCTTCTTGTTTCCTCTTTTTAAATTTAGTCGGGTCTTACGTTTCTGTCTATATGCAGAAATTTTTACGCAGGGATTTATTTGCAGGGATTACTTCCCATTACAGACGCGCATATGAAGACTGTTCAACTATGTATTTATTTATTCATTTATTTATTTATACATGCATAGCATTTTATCCTTATTTTTAATTTTTTGACTGCCAGAGGTCTTCCACGGAAGCTGCTCTCAACCTAGCGTTGGGGGCATGCCTACTACTCTACCTCTCCCTTACCCCATTACATATGAGAATAGGGTTTTGTTGTTGTTGTTGTTCTTGAACAAAAAACTAAAACGGTTAACTCAACATGACGTCCTCACACCATTATTTAAATTCTAAATTGGTCAATATAATTTCATGCATTTTGATTGAGTCCTCATAACATCAATATTGTATTAATCGAGTATTAAAATTTCGGTTCTAATATGATATAAACGTGTATACTTGCTACATGGACAGCTAGAAATCTAATCTGTTAAAATAAATAAATAATCCTTATAAACTTTAATGGTATTATCTTTTATAGTACATTAGATTTAAATTATCTATGTGATGAATATACACATATTTTAATGTAATCCGTACATTTTAAATATTTTTTACATTAAATTTTAACCACATATAATAGTTGAATTTATAATTAGACTGATGGAAGATCCTAATTCAAATCTATACTAGTAATACTTTGAAGATTTAACTGTAATGTTTTGAAATTTAGAGATTAATTTAAAATTTGGATAATAGTTTAAGGATGTTTTTTGAACTTAACCAAAAATTCAAGATTCATTTATTATATTAGATGAGAATGGTTTGGATAAATTAATTCAATTTA